AGACCCCGCCACAGCCCTCCGCCATCCACCCCACATTTGTGCAGAAGTTGGAGGCCTGGCGTGTGGGGTTTCCGGGAGGCCCGTGGTCATCCAGTCTTTACACAGAGTTCCCCCAAGACCATCACCGCTACCCTATCCCAGTACTATGCAGGGAAACGAAGTCGCTAATTCGCCTCCTTCTCCCTTCAAGTCCTACTCGTAGTAACCTTCGAGGAAGACCCCAGACCCATTTGGCCCCCGAACTTTGCTACAGATGGAGTCGCATCCATAGGCCTGGGCCGCCGGGCAGTGGTGGAGAGGGGTTGAGAGCAGCGACGCCCTCGAGGCGCGTGGCTGGGCAGGTGCCCCAGCAGGAGATCAGGGCGAGCCTTTCTCTGGGATACCCCAGCTTCGGATTGAAGTTGAGGCGCAGGGCTGCCTTAAGCTGTTCTCCTCTGTGACATTGAGTAAAATATTAAGGGAGTAGAGGCGGGAGCAAAACTCTGAACCTGGACTCCAAATGTCATTAGAGGGTCAACCACTCATTTGCTTTCAGGGAGTAGTCACTGGAGTGCGACCATGTGCCACCGAGAGATGAGGAGGTAAGGGAAGAATTCGATCTGTTTCCCAAGTGAAGAAGACCTCCGATTTTACTACCCAGATTTGAGTGTACCTGACAGCAGCTTGGACAACCGCAGAGCCCCGAGTTTGGAGTCAGAAAAGTCTGGGTTTGGTTACTAGTAACCACATCTCTTCCCCAAGTCTGAGCCCTGTGGACTTGGACAAGTTACTTAACCTCTCTGTAAAATGGGCACTTCATAAGGAAGGTTGCTGGAAAGATTAGAGACGTCATAAGTGGTGGCCATTATTAACCGTTTCTTAATATACGAATGGATTCGAATGAAATCGTGGGAGGCTTGCCTCTGCCAACATGCACCACCAGTCTCACCGGCCATTCTCTCTGGGGTTGGCACAGGGTCCTTTTGGATCACAGGCAGCTCTGAGAATCTTCAGTCTAGCCCCTGGCGTGTCTGTGAACTGGTTAGAATTGTCCAGTTCTCCGGTTATATATATGGCCAGCCCGATGGGAGAAGAGGAGGAGACGGGGAGGGGCAAGCTAACTCTGGTCTCAGAAAGGGCCCGCATCTCTAACAGCAGCCCCTGTAGCTGCGGTTGGGAAGGGAGGTAGCTAGAGATGTGTTATTGAGTACACTTGCAGATTATGTTGGTCAGGGGCTCTGAAATGGGACGGGGATGATCCAGGAGGTGCCAGACCACAAGCGAGGAATCTCAGGCCTCGGCTTTTGTGGTCAGCGGGTTGAGTTCAAGGGAATTTCAGGTGCAAATGGTGTTCATTAATACTTTCCGAAGCTTATAGGAGCCTAGAACGATGTCCTGCGTCCCAATTCAGGGATGCAACAGAAGGATGCACTTGCCAACTGCGAGTGGAACCGAGAGAGAAAGTCAGAGGGGGGCCACACGCTTCAAGGTGGCCCCAGCTGCGGCAACCAAGCAATGGGAGGTGCGGGGAGAGAGAGAGAGAGAGAGAGAGAGAGAGAGAGAGAGAGAGCAGGCGCTTAGGACGACTGCCAGCACCGACTCCTGCCCGGAGTTGCTGGACTGCAGTACTTGTAGGCTCCCAGGAACACTTGAGCAACGCAGCGGCACAGGGTGGGGCAAGGGTGCGCTCCAGGGTCACAACCCAGTACATAGGTGGCACAGGAGACGCGCGTCCTGGCGGTCCGGGGGTCCAGCACGCTGTGACCTTGGGCAGGTAGAAACGGAATACTCATCGGGAAAGGGGAAGAGACGGTGCCCGGCATGAAGCTGGGACTGGAGCCGCTTTTTTAACCGGACTGGTGGTCTCCACCCCAGTCATTTCTTTAAAGTAGCCAGCGGCAGCTTCTGAGTCCTAGACCCAGTGACTCAATATGATGACGACTTTTATTTCCCTCTGCTTTGCAATTTTGCAGTGAGGATAGTTGTATTTGTGTGCTCATTTTTTAATAAATGTATTCTAGACTTGTCCCCAATCTCTGTCTCCGTTGACTCTCCCTAAGATCAATGATTCTCATATCAAGAGGAAGTGAAGAGTTGGTTTCAAGAACCATCAGACAAGGCAGTTACTCTTCCCATAACCCTGGCCTAGGGTTATTTATAGAGCCCCTACACATAGATGACATCAATATTTCCCTGTGCAAAAATTTAAAGTAGTGAGTCAAATTCTTCTCTACTCTAAATCAATGATTTCCTCTTTAGCACTACATCTCTCTTCTCTCCCTACAAATAACATCTCTTCATCTCTTTTGGGTGAGACTGAAAAAAAGGAGACTTGATTAAATGCTGAAGAAATGCTAAAGTTTCTTCTATATGGCATTTCCTTAATATGCCAAGGAAGCAAAACCAATTGTAACTTCAGAAGGAGATTTTGGTAAGGAGGTAGAAAATGTTACAGTAAAGAAAGTTGCATGGTAAAACATCAGAACCTAACAGGACTGAATCCCAAAAAGTGGAAAGTGAAACATGGAAAGACTGAGTGGGCAGATTGTGGGAGAGTAGGGCTTTTGGTAGGTCTTGCCTGCTGGATGACCGGGTAATAATTTTTTTAACACAGCTTCAAAGTTGCTGTATTCAAGGAGCTTATTCATTGTCATTTACTCATACTCATTTCTTTTGTTACTTCATGTGATTACTAGGTGTGTTCTTTCATAAAATTACAATAGTCTATGGAAAGTTGATTAATTTCACAAATGCATAACCACTTCTTAAGAAATGAAATTTGCTTTACTCAAACTGAGATTTTTTTGAAAAGCTTTTGTCAAGGTTAACTTCTGAATCTATAGAAGAAAGTGTTCCCCAGGAACACAGTACTGAATGTGGGAGACCAGACGTCTAAGGAGAAGGAAAGTGCTTGAGGTTGTGAAAAATACATAGCAAATACGATTCCTGCGTATATTTTAACATTTCCATGTGATTATCCTAAAATCTATCACTGAGCAGAGGAACTGTTTTTAAGTCCAATTGTCTGAATAATATTTTGGAAAAATTTATAGCTAACTTTTTAAAAACGTGATAGCTTTTCATATGTAAAGCGGATTTATTTTAAAATTTCTTTTCTATGTCCATGTCTCCTCTAAATGAAGGGGGCTTTTATTTAATCACATTTTACAGAAAAACAAAACAAAGGGGAACTACCACTATCCACTACTCAACAAGTTCACTAGCTGTGTGGCCTTCCTCAAGTTGGGGTACTTGGGCTGGAGTGCCAAGACAGCACCGGAAACTAGCAACATTTATTCTCTTTCTTAAAATGTCTGAGACAAATTAGCCTTCTGAGTGTTTATGAAGACCTTTCTCAGAATAGAAGACCAGTTGTTCTCAATTTCAACAGATAATTGAAGAATCCAGCTTTAAAAGGATACTGAGAAACAGGGTGAATAAAGAGGGATTATATTTTATCTTTGATCAGGGCTGCAATATTAGTGGTGAGGTGGGGGCAGAATAGAGAGCATACTTTTTGGAAGAAAAGTTCACATTTTCTCATCCTAAGTTCCAACCTATATGTTTTAAATTAAAATCTTTATAAATTTATTTAAAATAACTGCAAACTACTGATGGATTAGATGAAATGTTAGAGAATACGGCCAACTTTGGGCATGTATTTTGCAGAGAAATAGGAGCCCGAAAAAACTGAAATTCAGAAGGCAAAGAAGGGAGAAGAAATCTCTCTCCTATCTTTGACCTCCAGCCACCACTACCCCCATATACTGAAACAATAAGAGTGAAGGGCACCGTTGCGCACCCACTGTGGTGCCATTTAGCTTCCAAGTGACTATGGGAGTCAGGCTTACTTGGAGGAGGCACAGTGAAAAAGACCAAAGGGCACCTGAGCCTCTGCCCCTCTTAACTAAAATAAGGGGATACTGGGATCCTACCATTCCTGCCCCTGACTTTCCTTTTGCCCTGCGTCCCAAGGGGAAATTGGGGGGGGTACTGCAAATAGAGTTCCAAAATTTGAATTACTGGTGGCATCTAGAAGAGTTCAAACGTGGGAAGGAGGGGTTGGGAGGATTCAAAAAGCAAATACAGCAATCACATGTATTTTGCTGCTACTGTATTTTACTTCGCTGTCCTCTATTTGAGTTGGCAAGTAGGAGTTGAGTTGACAGCAGGGTCTCTCTTTCAGGAGAGATTGTGGCCTTCACTTACTTAGGGAAACAATAAACTGGAATTTCCTATTAAAGGGCAATGACTTTGCTTTTAAAATGAAACGCTCATGCCAATCAAATAAAAAGGAAATAGATACTTTGGAGAGTGAAGGACCCCAATTATTACCATGCCTGCACCTTTTGTACACAACACATGCTCTTAAGTTTTAAAAAAATCATTCACCATTATTCAGAAATCTAAATCAACATCATTAAAGCCAATTTCTCTTTCTCTCCCTTTTTTCTCCTTCCTTTCCTCTCATTTCAACAGTGGTATGAGAGTTCAGATATTCTCTGTCGTGAGTAAAAAGCTCTGGAAATCAGCTAATGTGCCAACACCGGGAACATATCCAGGCCCATGGTGCGAAAATGAAATATGTGCTGTTGAATTATTATTTTTGTCCTTTAGGTTTACATCTACACCCTTGTATTATGTAAATTTCTGAGAAGCTGTGAATCACAAGGTTAGGTAAAGGAGGGTCCCCCCCAACCCCTCAACTCTCCCCCTCCTCATCCGTCTTCGCAAGCAACAGGAGCCGACCCCATTTAATCTTTGAATGATTCTCAGCCTTGTTCCTTTCTTTTTCCGGCTTTTTACCCCAGACCTCAACTTCCCTACCCACCCTCGACCCAACGAGCCGGCAGGAGCCAGAGGCCGCGGATGCAGCCCAGGGCCCCGAAGCTGGCTGCGTTCGTGACGTCAGCCGGCCGGCCCCTCGGGTCACCGTGGCCGCGGGACGCTGTTTGCGAGTTGCCAGCGTCAACACTCGCGCGGGGCGCTTAACGCTTCGCGTTGTTTCCAGGAGACTTTTCCTCTGTGTGGGACTGCTGAGAAAGTCTGAGGGCAGGCCCACTGTCAGTGAATTCAAAGAATTAACTGAACTTGAATTAAGAGGAGACAGTGGAGGGAAAAAAAAATAACCTTCCAAATTAATTTAAAGTGAGAAGGCAATCACATTTTAAAAGGTAGTAAGATTTCTTAATGATGGATCAAGGCTCTTCTTGGGATTTTCTCAGCGTGGATCTTAGAGCCCAACTCTTGAAACATGCACAAGGCGTGCAGAATCTGGTCTGGGAGAGGCCTAAGGGCGGGAAGGGAGGAAACAGAACAGCATCCACTTCCATCAAGAATCGGGGGCCGGCCAGTGGCTGAGTGCTTCCTCTTTTACAGTGGCTGTGAAGGCCGGCGGGACGTGGCCACGGGATATCGCCCTCTTCGGACAGCCATGAAGTCTTTTCTTTTAGAGGAGATGCAGGGTTTGACTGGGAGAACTCGGAAATGAAAGGACAAATTGGAGAGTAAAGCCAAAGAAGGGAAGGTAGAAAGGCCTTTCTGTTAAGGTCTTAAACAGGAGAATCTAGTAAGAAAAGTATCTTTGGGACCATCAGGTGACCCCAACTACTCTTAAGCACAGGCCAAAGGGCTTCAAAGGGAGGATTCTTGGAGGAAAGAGGTCGGCTAAAAAATTCACGAAAGGTTTTTGGAAGAGATACTCAGAGATACTCTTCAGACACTCTTAAAATTTGACTTGAGAATGTATTTTCCAGGAAAGTAAAAATGACAGGCAAACCTAGTGAAAAGATGCTCTAGTTCCTCCTTAGGTATGCCACACCCCCGGGCCTGTTTTCTTTCACCTTGCATCTAGATTAAATGACCCTTCAATTACACCCCGAGTCGTCAAAGCAAGTCTATTAGCGAGTGCCTGTTCAAAAACTTTCATCTAGGAGCTCTCCACCATCTGTTACGCGGTCTCTTAAACCGAATCCGGCGCCCCCTCCCGAAACTCTCTGGAGCCTCCCTTGCCATCTCCCCGCCTTGGGGGGGATGGAGCCGCCCCAGGACCTGCGGGAATGCAGAGGAGAAGGGGTGGAGCGCGATCTCGCTCGGGATGGGTTGCCGGGCCGGCCGGAGCGGTGGTGGTCCAGAGGCCCGAGGTCGACGGGACCTGATCGAAGGCAGCGCCGCGTCGACCGACCCCGGGAGCCAGACGCTTGGGAGCCCCAGCACGGCCGCGGCGCCCAGTCACTGAAGTTGCGCCCCAACTCCCAGCCGCCGCCTCCAAGCTTCTGGAGCTACCGTTCCTGGCCCCTCCAAGGGAGTCTCACAGAGCTCGGTGGCCCTCGGCCTTGCCAACGTCGTTTTAACTGTTTGGAACTCGTGAGCGAGAACCGAGAAGTGGAGAGCCCGGCCGGGGAGTTTTCAGCTTTTCTGTTTCACTTCGGGCTGCTTCTTTTCAAATGGTTCTGCGCTGGCCACCGAATCCAGAATGAGGCGGGGCTCCTCTGCCCCTACGCCAGCAGCGGGAACTTGGTTCCCCTGGGCAGCCGGGGACAGGGGGCGCAGAGGCCGCGGCGATAATGAAGGCTGAGACAGCCAAGGCCAGCGGGTCGGCGCGGGGCGCTCCCGGGCCGGAGTGGCCATCGGTCGGAGTTCAGGAGGTAACTGAATTTATAAGCGGTTCTTACAGATTTCTGGCGCACGGATTTGTATTTACCTCTACTGCTTCTCCATTTCTCTAAGCTCTGTGGTCTCTAAGTTCTTTGTTCTGTGTTATTTGAATTTCTATTACCGACTTTTATTTCATGGGATCACTTAAGGAAGTTTGAAAATAACATTCAAAAATGCTTCAAACCTCGTGGGTAGTGTCAAGGAAAGAGTCGAACTGTGTCTTGAATATGGTTTCTGTGTGTGTGTGTGTGTGTATGTGTGTGTGTGTTTAATTTTGACTACAAACAAAATGTCTTTAAAATTGTCTAGGGACTGCTACAAAACGCTAATCAACTAATTGCACGAAAACTTTTTTCTATCATTGGAGGCGAATATTTCAGTGTAGAGCAATAGAGCATGTTTGGGCTATCTTCTCATTGTTCACCTTCCAGATTTCAGCAACACCCTTGTAAGTGACAAGCAAAACTTTGCTGGGTTTTGTTGCTTGACGCTGTTGCTCCACAGTAAAGGTTGGATAAACTGGGTTACTTGTTTTATAAACTTCTTTTTTCCACAAAGTCCAGCCCTGAGTCGTAGCCTCTCAGTCTGGAGGGACACACCTCACAGGCCTGTGGGAATGGGTGAGAAAAATCTCAGCATTAGTGGAGGGTCAAAAACAAACTGAGTCCAAGTGATGGCTGTCTGCATTGCCTGCTGCCTCATTAACAGCTCTCACATTTGGGCTCTTCATTTTCTTTTACAAACTGATTTGCTAGGTAAATGCTGTTTTGAGAGAAATAATTTCACTGAGTTTAAATGAAATCCTAATATAAAAGACATAGTAACAACAAAGGTCTATAGACAAACAACCCACCCTCACACTTCTTCCCCCAAAGAGAGGAGGGCTCTGTGAGTTAACCAACCCTTCCCACACTTACAACCTGTGATATTGTCCTTCACAGGCTTTAGGAAATTAGCAAGAATTCTTTATTTGCTACCAAACTAACTAAAAGCACACTGGTAGCCTTAAATTGAACTTGTTGCCAAAATGTTTGCTAATGTGCTGGAAAGTTAGTTCCCGTTGTGTATTAAGTAATCTGAGGTACTCAAAAACTCTTTCCTTGAACCTTATAGACCTTGGCTATTTGTGTCCCATCCCATCACCCTCCCTCCATCACACACCAAAAGAAATAACCAAAGACCAACCAGAGATAAAGACTATGAGCAGAAAATGTACCGGAATTTAAAAATGTGTTTTTCCTTCTAGAAATACAGTATGTTGCATTTGGTGCTATGTATTAAACAGGAAAAAGTGTAGATGTGCTTGAGTGTCAGGGCTGGGGTGGGGGGTGATGTCAGAATAATAATAATGCCTTCGTCTCCCCTCCCTTAGCTCACAAGCTAAAGCAAAGAGAAAGCAGACTGTTGTTCTGCTAGGGGTCAGAGATGTTGAACAGGCCAGAAAACTCTAAAAACATGACCAGGGACAAGTCAATGAACTAGGCAGAAAGTGGAATTAGTTATAATATTTTCCAATCCATTTTTAATTTAAAAAATCAATAGCATTTTGTGACATATCAAAGAACAAGAGATTAGAGATTATGGCTTATTTGGTAATGTATGGCTCTGTTATCTTATTACCTTTAATTTCGAATTGCAGTCACCATAGGCAGAAACTGCATTTGCTTGTGATAGGGACTTCAACAAAAAGCCTGTGAAAATTATGCACGTTTTTTAATAATAGCAAGAACACAGCTTAGAAAGTATTGAAGTCAAAACTAGATTCCTTAGAAAGAGAATTTTAAATTGCTTTAGAAGAACAGGACTTTTTCTTATTTCTAAAATAGATCTTAACACAGAGTTTGTTATCTGGCCTCTTTATATTATGAACTGCTGTGGTTTCCTCAGGATATTTCATAAAGGACGAACTATACACTTAAACTCGCCTTCCATCAGGATTTGAGGTTATAAATACTGCCTTTCCATGGATGGAAAGGGGAGGCACACTTAATCATCAGTTCTCAGAAGAAAAAAAAAAAAGAGGGATTATAGGATTCTCAAAGAAAATCGAAAGAAACTGTAAGAGTTTCTATTTTGTCATTAAGAAAATAAACAAGGCTCCCTTGCATTTGTTTTAGTAAATTAAAAAATACTTCTGTTGAAACATTTTGAAAGCTTCTGAATTTGCTGAATATACTCTGTTCTTATTGCTTTTTTTTGTCATTTTCAAATATATTTGTAAATAAAGCACTGGACAGATTGGACAGTAAGACAGAAGCCCTTTCTAAATACATTTTGTGTTTTATGACAATTCTTATTTAATAGAGATAGTATTGCTAATTAACACGTGTTTTTGGTTAGGTTTTGAAAAAATTAACAAATGTTGGATATCAAGGCCTAGAGTTGTAAAGCATCTTTTCAGTCTTTAGTAAACTCAAGGCCATCTTAAAGGAAGAGTATAATTGATGCTTTGCCATATTTGTGTTAACTCAAATGACATTTTCAAACACTTGCCAAAAGGGCAAATCCTGAAAAGACCAGTGAAAAGCAAATTGTTGAAATATAAACTATACAAAGCATGCATACCTCTTAGCCAATATTTTTTCCTTTTTAGTTTTGTATACACCAAAGGAGAAATTTACAGAGGTCAAATAAAGGCTCTTTTGCAGTTAAGGAGAGGGGAGGGGGAGGAGAAGGGGAGAGGGAGGGACACACCACAAGCGTAAAACAAACTGGTGGCATTCTGTCAAGAAGGCAGGTAAGGCTCCAGAGGCCGGCGAATTGTGCATAAGTCAGCTGGACTCTCTAAAGTCTTCCAGAGCTGGGCTGTTTTCGCGCTTCTTGGCTTTTTCCTTTCATCCTAGCCCTGTGGCGGAGGAGTGCAGCAGGAGGGGGATTTTTTCGCTGTTGGGAAGTGGCAGGTAGGAAAAGGAATCTGATCCGGCCCAAAAGTCAGCAATTAAAGTCTTAACCGCGACCCATCTGTCGCGGTTAAGAGAACCTCCCCACCACCCTTTGCCCCAGCAAAGCCCTTCCCGTGCCCTTTGTCTGAGCAGGGGAAAGGAGGAGACTAGTTCTGCGGCCCCAACAGCAAAAGGCAAGAAAATTTCCAGCGCTGACCAATACTGAGTGTCTGCGCCCGGTCCAAGTACAACTCCGAAGCGCCTCTCGGGGGTGTGGTGCCTCTTCGATTGCTCTGCCCAGGTGCTCTGCCCAGGTGCTATGCCCCGTGGCCCCAGCAAAAGGAAAGAACATCTGCAGCCTGGGCGAATCCAGAGTAGGTGCACCCAGGCCAAGGACGGTTCCAAAGCGCCGCCCTGGAGTGTAGTGCCTCTTTGCCCGCTCCCCCCGGGCGCTCTGCGCTTCTCTGCTGCATCAGTTGCCCCAGTCTGAAGCCACCTCGCGACCTGAAACGAGGCATTCCCAGGCCTAGCTGCTGAAGCTGGTCGTATTCAGCCAGACCTCTCCCCCATCTTGCCCCTTGGCTGTCCTCAACTTCCAGTAGGACTCACTCCCCCTCCCCCATTTCTTCAGCCTCTGAGTTTTCCCACCACCCACCCAGCGCCGCTGTTGTTTCTGTTAGACATCAGGCGCGTTCCCAGCCCAAGCTCTCTTCCTTTCCACTCCTCTTGGCTCTTGGGGCAAAGGCGGAACTGATTTTCGCGGAAAGCTAGAGAGGGGCGGAGGGGACCGGGTGGCTTGCCTGGCATGTGTTGAGAATAGGGTAGAGAGGAGGGAATACTTTGAGGTCAGTTTCCTTCGTTTAAGGTCCAGTTTCTTTTCTTTGAGTGAAATTGGACAGGGACTTAATAATCCCAGGGTTTCTAGTCCGCCGTTATCCAGCCTTCCGGGGCCCACCCTTTTCAGAGCTCTAGCAGAAGGACGCCCCCACTACACTTGGCCCAATACCTGACACCCGCCACCACCTGTTTCACAGCCACGTGGGGTTAACTCACCAGGCAGATGGCACCTTGAGCTGCTGCGGTCGGCCACTCACTTCAGGGTCCAGGCCCCACCGCCCTTTGCTTGCAGTTCTGTGCGCTCCCTTGGCCTCCTCACGCCAGGTCACAGCTGCCGCGTCTTCCAGCTCTGTGCAGCCCTCCGTGAGCGCCTAGCTCCGGGGTTCAGCTCTGCGTGATCCCCGGCTGGCAAGGGACTGCCGGGGAAGGTGCGCGCCGCAGCTTCCAGCGCGCTCCTGGACTGTCTTGCCTGAGCGGCGGGAACCCGCACAGTCTGAGCCGCAGCCTTAGGCGTCTTTCCGGAAACTTCCACACACTCCACCGCGCCGCCCCAAGAGTTTGGGCCAAGGCGCCACAGCCGGCGAGTTCTCGGCTGGGGGGCGTTGCACGGGAAATGGTCTCTACGCGCGCTCTTTGGGAGGCACAACTGTAGCTGTGGACACAACTCCGGCGCCGGCAAGTCTGTTTGATGCGCACAGACACCCAGGCTGCAGCCTGCGCTGCTTAGAGGAGTCTTGCAGACACCGGCAGCCGGGGTGGGGATTAATACATTCTGTTTCCCTTTTCCGCTCGGCATTCAGTATTTAAAATGCTCCGGGAGAGCTCTAGCTGAGCGCAGGTACTTAAGAAAGAAATGCTCTTTCCAGACTCTCAATGTAAACTCGGAAGCGTGTGCGCGCCCGCGTCTGTGTGTATCCTGGGTGGGGTCCGATCGAGTCAAGGTTTCTTGTGGTGTGACACCCGATTATACCTTGCAGCTCCTCAACTTTGTGGATGAAAGTGCGACTTTCCCAGGCCGATTGCCGTGGGCATTGCCTTTACAAAACCACAAACACTTAACAAGCCTCCCAAGGCTTTTAATTCTCAGGGGCGTTTTGGGAGGCCAGTTACCTGCTGGCGTCTTCTCAATGGTCCAGACTCAGTTCGGGCCGCGGAGACTCCGGGATTCCGGGAGCGGGCAACCCCGAGCCCTGGAGGAAGAAAGAGGTCTGCGGAGGTGCCACAGACCTGACCCCGGCCCACCCCGGCCCGGCCAGGCCCAGCGGAACCAAGCAGCGAAACCTCGGATTTCGCCGCCTAGGCTTCCTGGACGAGGCTTTCTGGAGCTTGGCGTTTGATAAATATAGCCTGGCGTTTGCCCCTGAATTAGACTCCGTTTCCTTATTTAGCCCTTGCACAATGATTTTAGATGATGTCACTTAGAGCTAAACGAGAAAATTGATCTCAGATTTGCTTGGCCTCTAAAGCCTGGTTAAGCAGATTGAGAATTAGACAGACAGAGGAAGCAAAAGGGGGGTGGGGGTGGGGGAGGGCGGAGGGTAGTGAAGTGTGCGCCGCAGAGTGTGCGCGCCGAGGGGAGGGCGCGCCAAGCGGGTGAATGCGCCCCCGCCTTTTCTGGGCGGGGAACCTCACTCACCAATGAAAAGTAGCTACTGACTGCAGAGGAAAAAAAAAGTTTTCCTGTTGACTGTTGGAAGCGAATTGAGCAATTATCTAGTTTACCTTCTCCTCTTGGAAGTTAACGATTGGCGAGATCTTGGCTGCGTTATTGACACAACACTTTCTATTGATAGAAATAAGTAGTGATTGTCCCCGAGTCATTGGTGCGCCAAGAACTCTGCGATGGGCTGGCAGGAGTCCATTGGGCTGGGCAGGCAGGTTCGGCTGGTGATGCTGGGGAGGAGGAGGAGGAGGAGGCTACTGGTGGTGATGGTGCCCGTCCCCCTCTCCACAGGTCTGTGACAAGCAGGGAACAAGGCAACGGACGGCGCAGCCCAGCCCCGGCTGACGGACGCTGGCGACTCAGACATGGACAGTAGCTGCCACAACGCGACTACCAAAATGTTAGCGACTGCTCCAGCTCGGGGCAACATGATGAGCACGTCCAAACCCTTGGCTTTCTCCATTGAACGAATCATGGCGCGCACCCCCGAGCCCAAGGCCCTGCCAGTCCCCCACTTCCTGCAGGGAGCCTTACCCAAGGGGGAACCCAAGCACTCTCTGCATCTCAACTCGTCGATTCCCTGCATGATCCCTTTCGTGCCTGTGGCGTACGACACGAGCCCCAAGGCAGGAGTGACGAGTTCCGAGCAGCGGAAGGCCAGTCTGGAGGCCCCGGCTGCGCCCGCGGCGGTGCCCTCGGCGCCGGCATTCAGCTGCAACGACCTGCTCAACTGCGCACTGAGTCTCAAGGGCGACCTGGCCCGCGACGCGCTGCCGCTGCAGCAGTACAAGCTGGTAAGGCCGCGTGTGGTCAACCACTCTTCATTCCACGCCATGGGCGCCTTGTGCTACCTGAACCGAGGTGACGGCCCGTGCCACCCGGCAGCCGGCGTGAACATCCACCCGGTGGCCTCCTACTTCCTCAGTTCCCCTTTGCACCCGCAGCCAAAAACGTATTTAGCCGAAAGGAATAAACTGGTGGTCCCGGCGGTGGAGAAATACCCTTCTGGAGTAGCGTTCAAAGACCTGTCCCAGGCTCAGCTGCAGCATTACATGAAAGAAAGCGCCCAGCTTCTGTCGGAAAAAATCGCGTTCAAAACCTCGGACTTCAGCCGAAGCTCTCCTAATGCCAAGCCCAAAGTTTTCACTTGCGAAGTGTGTGGAAAGGCAAGTACTATGCAAAACGGAGATCCCTTCCTTCCTTCCCTCCTTCCCTCCTTCCCTCCTTTCCTTCCTTCCTTCCTTCCTTCCTTCCTTCCTTCCTTCCTTCCTTTCTTCCTTCCTTCCTTCCTTCCTTCCCTCCCTCCCTCCCTCCCTCCCTCGCTCCTCCTTTCCTTCCTCCCTTTTTAGTATTTTGGGGGTAATTATTTGTGTACACTTTTTGTAAGATTCTCTTCCTCCTACCCTCCCTCTGCCCAGTTTGATTTCAAAGTTACTTGTTCGGCTAACCTGTTCTACGTGTGTTTAATTTTAAGGTCTTTAATGCGCACTATAACTTAACCCGTCACATGCCAGTGCACACAGGAGCCAGACCCTTCGTTTGCAAAGTGTGCGGAAAAGGTTTCAGGCAAGCAAGCACCCTGTGCAGGCACAAGATCATTCACACGCAGGTGTGTTCATCTGTCTCAATTTCACCTCGTTTGCTTCGGAACTGTTTGCAGAAAAACAGTTGATAAAGCCTTAGTCCTTAGGATAAGGTTCGTTTAGAACGTGCTAGCTGAACAGGGGTGAATGCCATATATTGTTTGCTTTTGTTCTGCCTTGAAAGTGTTTAAGCATTACTGTGTTTTGAGCTTGCAAAACTTCACATAATTAGAAAATATCTAAATGTCTCTGCTTTTCCTTTCTCTTGCTTAGGAAAAACCTCACAAATGTAACCAGTGTGGCAAAGCATTTAATAGAAGTTCCACTTTAAACACTCATACCCGAATACATGCGGGCTACAAACCGTTTGTGTGTGAATTCTGTGGCAAAGGGTTTCATCAAAAAGGTATGGAAACCAGGAAATGTTGTCTCTCATGGTTAGTCTTACCAAAAGCGATACTTAATATTTTCGGGATGTTTTAGAAGACGATGTTTAAAGTGTAGTTATGTGGCACATTTGTTGCCATTCTAACCCCCTACCCGAAGTCTGATTAGTATTAGAGAAAGGCATGATTCATAAAACAATATTTTTTAACTGCATGCTCTGATTCTATGTAATTGGACTGATAAATGTGTATTAAAATTTAAAGGAAACGGCATCACTGTTGATGCGATGTTTGAAAATAAACTTGGGGAGACAAGTGCAGGCACGGATAGCAGCCCTGCACTGGTTGTGGGACCCGTAGCGGTTCTTCTGCTTGCCTGGCGCTACCTTAGACGTGTCTGCTCCTCCTTTTTTAGGGTTTTTTTTTCCCCCCCAGAACCACATCTCTGTCATTTGTGTGTTTCAGGGAATTACAAAAACCACAAGTTGACCCACAGCGGGGAGAAGCAGTTCAAGTGCAATATCTGCAACAAGGCTTTCCACCAGGTTTACAACCTCACTTTCCACATGCACACCCACAACGACAAGAAGCCTTTCACCTGCCCCACGTGCGGCAAGGGTTTCTGCAGGAACTTTGACCTCAAGAAGCATGTCCGCAAGCTGCACGACAGCAGCCTGGGGCTGGCCCGCACGCCAGCTGGCGAACCAGGCACTGAACCGCCGCTCCCGCTACAGCAGCAGCCGCCGGTGACGCTGCCTCCTCTGCAGGCGCCGCTGCCAACTCCGGGGCCCCTGCAGCCCGGGCTCCACCAGGGCCACCAGTGATCGAGGCCAGGGTTCCTTCCAGCCTCGGCCGGGCCCCCACGCTGAGGCAGCGGCAGACTAGAGCTCTTGGTCCGAGTTCGTCTGCAGACCCCGGGGCATGTTGGGCCCCACACTTTAGGGCCAAACAGAGGCCTCTGCATCCCTTGGCCTTTCACCTCTTGCATGCACCTGCTAAATGGTTTTGTGTATTATATTCTATATAGGCACTAACAATTATGAAAAACTTGGAGGGCTTTGTTTGTTTTCTGTTTTTCTTTCTTTTTTTTTAATTTGGAAAGACTTTTCATCTTGGGTGAAGAGATGGTGTTTGTTTTGTTTTGTTTTGTTTTGTTTAAACAAATTTCTGCTATATTTATTGAGATCTGTATTATTCTACCCGGGAATGCTGCATCATTTTAATTTTATTATTGTATATATTTCCATTGTGTTGATTCTCCCGTCTCAAGATGTCTGCAGGATGTTTATCATTTCCTTCTTTCCTGAAGTAACGAAACACTGTGTGTATGTCATATATACACGCATAGATGTGTGCGCCCATAGGGGTATATTCCACATTCGTGAGCACACACACATACACATTAGATAAGAGTGGTTCATTATGGATGATTTTGAATTTTGGTTTTGATTATTGCACGTGAAAATTGATTCATTGACTGTTGGAAATAAATACTTGGAACATGCTTATTTAATCAACGAACTTTAGGGCTCTGTTCATACTATTCAGCTAAAGATTCCTGACTGTGACCCCCTCATCCATCCTCCTTTTTAAAATCTAAAACCCTGGATTAGTAATACTTAATGTTTTCGTCTGAAAATCTATCAAGTGCAAATAGTTTCTTCTAAATGGTTACACCTTTGGATAAAGTTATGAAATCTGGTAAATTTCAGAAGCAGAAGACATGGAGTTTTCTAACAGAAACACAAATTTGGCTTGGACCACCTGATATGTTCGCAGTGCACAGTTAAACAGGAACAACATATCCAGTAGCTGTATGCAATGTACATCTCCTCAAACGCATTACAATCATAGATAGACAGGTGTCTATTGTTTGCATCCTGAAGGCACATACTGACTTATACACAGCTGGCAAAGGGAGCCTCTGTGTTTTTACATGTGTATATATGTTTATAGACGAATATACTTCCATTCAAGGAGGAAACATGGATGAAAACCAAACTGTGGCGGGTGCCAGGTCCTTGAAATGCTTCAAGTGTTAATCAGCGGCTCCGCTGTGAGCTCGGGCTCTGGTGTTTCTAACCGCAAGTCTCTCCCGTTTTCTTGCCAAAACAGTGAAACAACTGCTAAAGACTTTAATTAAGAGGGGTAATTAGTTCAGATTTATCAAAGCCGGGTTGTTATACTATTAGCTGCTCAGTAGAAGCTGCCAGACAAACTCACAGCCCAGCACAGTAGTGCTACTGCAACGGGGCCACATCCTGGGAGGGCGACTGGGGGGAGCGGGCCCCGGGGTCTCCGTCTCGCCGCCTCGGACTCCACCACCCCGCCAGGACCGGGGCCAGCGCGGCCAGCCCCGCAGGCCTCAGGTGCATCTTGGCCCCTCCCCCGGCCCACGCTCTCCCTCCAGGGCTGCTGATGTGGAGAATCCACCATCGGTCCACACCGCGGGCCCAGGTTCTACGGAGTCCGGGGGTCTCCTTTCTGCACTCACCGTAGCGCGGCCTCACAAGCTCCGGGACCGCCCCGACAGTTGCGGGGAAGAAACTTAAATCTGTGGCCCCGCCTCACTTCTGTGCGTCCTGCGGCGCCCAGGAAAAGGCTGCGCAGAACGACGAAAGGCGAGACCGAGACCGGAGATGTGCAGGGGACACTGCCGGGGCGCGGCGGCTGACACCCGAACTCACATTTCATGGCGGGGAAAGACTGACGGCTCCGGTCACCGAGAGAGGGTGACCTGAGTGCTTTTCGACGGCCTAGGAAGCAGGGAGATTACTAACAGCCCCCGTGGGGCGATGGCGGAAGGGAGGGTGAGCGGACTCCGCGGGGACCCTCACGCCGAGTCCGGCCTGAGCCCCTTCCGGGTTGTGGAGAGACGTTGGGGGAATCTAGAGAGCACGGACCTGGTGTGGCTGGGAAGGTCCCCAGAACAGGGAAGTCCTGACACTTCCTGCAGACGTCGGGTCCAGACCTTTCCCAACACTTGTGCCAGGACGCACGCCCTTTGGACACTGGGGACAAGTTCCAGCCCAGCCATTATTAGATCGAATCCCGATGTTTCTCCTTTCCTGACCTCCTCACGCCCCGACCTTGTCCACTGTTGAGGCCAAATCCCTGTTAGATTTGACTTCGGAAAGCGATGGAGGTCTTGGAATTCCATAGTTGGCTGGATTCCGAATCCATCCGGCCCTAAGTAGCTCCATCTCTCACAGAGTATCACAGCCGATTTGATAATCTTGTCCCAGGCTCTGGCCACATTCCGTGACAGCTGCCTGTGCCTCCGAAGGAGTTTTGAGAGATGCTGCAGAGTTTATGTATCACCCTTTCCAAAGTAGCTTAGTTGGACCTTTAAAGCATTCGGTTTGAGTAAATGAGAATGAGATCAGGAGTCATTATAATTTGGAACCTGCACATTTCAGTGAAAAAGCAGGAAATGGCCTTTGCTTCTTGAACTTGTCAATACATATTTGAACTTATTCTCAAAACCCAGGGTGTAGATTCTTCTAGACATTCGAGATGACACGATCTTACTAGTGGAAAGCAAAATGAATATTATTGAGGAACATTACTCAACCATTAAATACCCCAGGCCAGCGCACTTTGACATATTGAGGGTGGGGGTACTCTTCTATGGAATAATATAATTGGTTTATTTCAATCCAGAAAGAAAGAGAGAAAAGAGGGAGAAGTACAGAAGAGAGGGAGGGAGGGAGGGGGAGAGAGAGAGAGAGAGAGAGAGAGAGAGAGAGAGAGAGGAGAGGAGAGGAGAGGAGAGGAGAGGAGAGGAGAGGAGAGGAGAGGAGAGGAGAGAAGAAAGCCTGAGAAGAAAAGAAGATAAGAAGGAATAGAATAAGAGAAGGGAAGAAACAGAAAAAATCGAGAATCAGTTATTGTATATTCCACATTGTAATGTGGAATGACTTTGTTATAAGGTCTGATCTGGGATGGTGCAATAGTTCCAGTGAAGGCAGGCACAAGGAAATTATTGTCTGATAACATGTTTGAGCAGCTTGGAGTGTTGGTGATTAAGTAGAGGAGGCCAAAAGGAAATTCTCTAACATGAAGCACTCAAGAGAACTACTTTTCAGGAGGTAAATTATCAATGAACTTTGATTATGATAAAGCTGTTAGAGCTTACATCAAGGAGAATCTTCTTAAAGCAAGTATAAGCTTAGGGATTAAGTTTATAGGAGAAAAAAATTGATGGAGTGGAACACTTAGCTAATAGTCAGGGAAAGACCTTACAATTATCTCCCCCCAACTAATACTGAAAGGTGATTTCTTCCTTCAATTATCTAACCTCTGCATGTGTGTATGTCTCTGTGTGTGCATGTCTCTGTGTTACATGTGTCTTATATAGATTTTTATGCTTGCTCATGAAACAGCTTCCCTAAAAGTATGAATTGAAACTTGGTTTTGTCCCAGTCCACCTTCTTTTGATCAGACATTAGCCAGCAAACTCTCTCATGTTTAGGAGGAAGAGAGGCCACTGTCCAGATTATCTGCCGAGGGAAATGGTTTACCTTCAGCTCCCTCTTTCGGAATTAACTTTTGGTATAAGGAACATGGCCTTCCTCTGGAAAGGGCAGCAGAGACTAATTTTAAAAACTTAGTGATTCACTGAGACCTTATATTTAGTTCAGTTTCGGAAATCAGAACATAGAACAGAATTCACATTGTAAGTAAGTAGTGATTTCCCATCTTTTTTTTTTTTTTTTTTTTGAGACAATGTCTTGCTATGTCACCCAGGCTGATGTGCAATGGCACACTCATGATTCATTGCAGCCTCTACCTCTGATGCTCAAGCGATCCTCCTGCCTCAGCCTCCCAAGTAACTGGGACCACAGGTGCACGCCACCATGCCCAGCTAATTTTTGCATTTTTGGTAGAGACAAGATTTTGCCATGTTGCCTAGGCTAGTCTCGAACTCCTTGGCTCAAGTGATACTCTTGCCCCACCTCCCAAAATGCTGGGATTACAGGCATGTTACATGCGTCTTACCACACCCAGCCAAATTCCTATTTTATTTTAACAAGGACTCAAATCCTGATTTCCAAAAATCCCTTCCAAAGGTAACAATTTGTTTAGATTTCCCAAATTTTAGTTTAAGAGCAAGTTATTATGCAAGAGTAAGACTAAGATGTCAATTTTTAGTAGTAAATAAAAGCATTGCATATGGGACTCATCAAAGCAGTTACTTGTTAGTGATGTTTGAAGCTTAGTGAGTTTCTTGTGGAACTTTGCTCCTCTCCAAGTATGGAAGAAATTAATCTACAAGATGCAATGAAGTCATAATTCTCAGAATCTGTGCATCCTGTTTGATAGATTCCCCCTCATCAATATCAGAAATCCTAATTTTGCTAGAACTGGTAGCAACTCAGAATTAACTAAAGTATAACTGTAGTGGATATATTTCACCTTGTAAAATATTTATTGTAACACATGCAACATAAAATACAATGATCTCAAATTCAAAATTGGAGCAGAAACAAAAATATTTTCTTTTTCACTTTATAAACTCATGTACTGGGTAAATCTGTTATTCATGAAGTTTATGATTTTAAGGGCCCACAATGTATTGTTGTTACCAAACAGAGTGCATTTTTAAAAGCATTAAAATTAAAACCAACCTAAATTTCAGTGGGTAAGAATATGAAGTTGTTGGCTGTTGAGATAAAAAGTAATTTTGAACCCAATAAAACATTGTCTTTTTGCTATATTTTTGCTAAAGCCACAGATTACGCTCACACACAAAGTTATTTGTGTCCATTAGGTTAATTTAAATCTGAAGAACAAACTGTATTTGTGAGTAGAAAATACCTGGTTATGAATTTCATTGCTGGCCGGGTATGGCCAGTGGCTCACGCCTGTAATCCCAGCACTTTGGGAGGCCAAGGCAGGTGGATCACCTGAGGTCAGGAATTCAAGACAAGCCTGGCCAACATGGTGAAACCCCGTCTCTACTAAAAATACAAAACATTAGACATGTGTGGTGGCAGACACCAGCTACTTGGGAGGCTGAGGCAGGGGAATTGCTTGAACCCCAGAGGCAGAGGTTGTAGTGAGCTGGTATCGCACCTTTGCACTCCAGCCTGGACAACAAGAACAAAGCTCCAACTAAAAAAAAAAAAAAAAAAAAGAATTTAATTGCTTCTGGAAATTAATGCATGCATGTGTCCATTTCAGCTTCAGGACAAACTAAAGACAAATAATGATATACTAATCAAAACACTGGTTATTGTTATAATTTTGGTGGTAAAGCAATTGCCAGTTCAAGGTAGCCTAGGTTATCTCACTCCATGCAAAAGCAAAGAGGATGCCTAGCATTTAAATGACGTTGATATGAAAACCTACCTCTGCTATTGTAATTTTCTCCATACATTGTTACATATTACCTATAATGAACTTGGAGAAAAAGTCAAAATTCATCATGTAATTGAATGAGTATAAAGTTATTACAAATCATTATGCACAGTTTCTGTTCAAGACTGACATTGGTGTTAAATGAAATCATGTCACTG